ATATAATATAATATAATAATAAAATATATATATATATAGATAGAGAGAGAGAGAGAGAGAGAGAGAGACAGAGATGATCGAGCAATCGGTATTCGAGACGCGTTATACGATCGGGCCGGTCGACGGAGAAAATAATCCGCGTTTCGTATCTGTGAATCGAGATGCTTTCGAGGGATGGGTAACGAGGCGAAAAGTCGAGGAGTAAAAGCGTTACGTGATTCAAGGACGCACGCTAAGTGGGATCGTGACGCAGTCGATAAGCAGCTGTAGGTGCAACGATCGTTCCTACCCTTATGGCGCGTGTATTTGTTCGCGGCGCTGTTCGAAATAGAAAAAGGCGCCCCCGTCGGTCGTCTATCCGGTCTACTACGAAACAAGCAGAGAAGACGAGGAGAAGGAGGGGGGAGACGACCGAAGAAGGATAAAAAACAAAGAGGAACGCGTAGACTCGAATGCTCACTGGAAAATCGGTACCGTAAGCGTTCCACTTCTCTTTCGTTCTCTTTCTCCGTCTCGCTCCGGCATGCGTGCCCCCCACCCCTCTTAGCTGCTCTGTCTTTCTTAAAAGAAAACCGCTCCGGAATCCGCGTCTCGGAATGCGAGAGGCGACGAGACTCGGCTTAGCACGAACGCAACCTGTCCACACTGTTTCCCCCACCGGACCTGATCCTCCTAACTCTACTTATCCATCCCCACCACGCGGCGCGAACGATGCAAACACGATTGCACACACGCGCGAGGGCGCGCGGCCGCGCGGCCACACCGACGAATATATGCCATCATTTGCTTCATCGTGTAACCGTATATACATGACGCGTCGCTCGCCAGCGTCTCCTCGGCTACTTATTATTCATTCGGTTGCATACACAACGCGGTCGAATCGCGGGGCCGAGAACGAAAAACCATTGTCTCGATTTTTCCAAACATTTCGCTTCGGTTTTAATTGCTCGGACATACTTGAGAAACCTTTGCGAGTACGAGGCTGCCGACGAAGCACTTTCTATTTCTAAATACGACGGCGAATAACCGTCCCATTTCTATTTCGTGTATCGTTCACGGGGCCGACGGAGAATTATTTTTTTTGGTCGCGCAACGAAAATCTGACGGTTCTGTTCGGCACGAACGGAATCTGTCCACGCTATTTCCTCCAACGTCTCTCTCTTCTCTCTCTCTCTCTCTCTCTCTCTCGCTTTCTCTCTCTCTCTCTGTCCCGTTTCCCCTTCACCTCCTTTTCTACGCTATTCTACCTGGTGTGCGAGCGGTCCCGCGCGCACACTGCCATCCCGAGTATCTATATTTGTCGGATCCCCATCCGAGATGCGTGAACACCAAGAAGCAGGCTCGGACGGCCGTGGTACGTATGTGCAACACGATTTCGCTTATTTATCCTACACATGTGCGCTTGATACGCGCAGATACAGCACGCGTCTTATTTACCGAGCACCAGAGAAAGAGACCGAGAGGGAGACGAAACGGGCCAAAACAGAAAGAGGAATGAAGAGATAGCGCCGCGAACGACACGAGCTATTTTACAAACTCGTTTCGCGCGTACAAATGAAGATCGGCTTCGACGACCGGGACATCTGTCGGAAAAATATGTATTTAAAAAACCGAACTCCTAATATACATACATAAATTGTCCTTTCCGATTTCCCGCTCATTTTTTGAGCTTCCCCCCTACCGTCGATGCCAAAAAATTTTTCCCGGGAAAATATGTATTTAAAAAACCGAACTTCTAATATACGTACGCAAATTGTCCTCTCCAATTTTCCGCTCATTTTCTGTGAGCTTCCCCTCCACCGTCGTCGCCAAAGAATTTTTCCCGGAAAAATATGTATTTATATACCGAACATCTAATATACATATACACACATCAATCGTCCTCTCCAATTTCCCGCTCATTTTTTGAGCTCCCCCTCCACCGTCGTCGCCAAAAAATTTTTCCCGGAATATGTATTTATATACCGAACTCCTAATATACATATACATACATAAATCGTCCTCTCCGATTTCCCGCTCATTTTTCGAGCTCCCCCTCCACCGTCGACTTCGAAGAATTTTTCGTACGATCGATCTCACCCCGCTGGTTCTTTCGAAACTTTTAATGGACCCGCCGCCGCGAGGCGCGCTCCGAAACGCATTAACGCCGCCGCACGACAGATAAACAGGCCCCGAAACGTTAATCAACCTTAACATTGACGCACGATGCCGCGTGCACGAAAATATTGATATTTGCCGTAAGCGTGCCGAATCGCGTTGCGAAACGTCGAATATTTCGTGTTTACGAAACGCGGGCGACGCGGTTTGCATAAACAAAAGTCATCGGTGGTAAACTTTCGATACTCACGGAGACGCTAGCCAATTAAATTCCTCCCCGATATTTCCGAACGCACGCCGTGGCGAGTCTCGCATGGAAACGCCGCGAGATTACGTAGTTGCCGTGCACTTCACTGTCGCGCGCACGACGGGAATACACGCGGAGCACCAGCACAATTTCTGGAATCTCTCGCGCTTCCGTGTGCCGCGCGCGCGAGAGAAAGAGAAACGACGACGACGAGAAAGAGCGATAAGAGAGAAAGAGAGAGAGAGAGAGAGACATACTCTCCGCTCGGCGAACACGCGCGAGACACATGCCCCTCCGTCGCCGTTCGTCTCGCATTGCCGGGCATACGGGCCACGTTCTGTTTTCTTGCGCACAGTCGCAACACCGCCGATCATTCCCTAGGAATAAGGTCGTACGCAAGATCGTGCCAAGAAACACTGAACCCAAGAAAACGACCGTTATTTGCGAACGTTCACTTCGATCTCGGCGCTCGGGCCTAAAACTCTCCGGAGATCTCTGTCGCGCGGCAACGCGACCGACGTTATCAATGTCAATAATTGCTCAGATGTCCCGGATAATGATGTATCATTCGACCCGAGATCGTTTCTACGCGAGAAACACCGATCGCGTGTTCACGCGTTTAAATTCCGCGATCGCCGTTCGGAAATGAGACGGTCGGACGAGAGCCGGGTGGGTCCGACAACTCGTGCACCACATTGTCTAGAAAGTATCGCTCCACATCGGCGACCTTGTTCTTAGGATCTACATAGGCGTGAATCCGCGGTATCGGGGCATCTATCAACTCTCGGGAATCAAACACACGTAAAAGCCTTTGGCCGGGACGGGTAGAGGGAGCTGGCGGCAGTTGTCAACGGCGTACGTGAACAGAAGGCTGGTCGATATGGGGAGAAAGAATACTCGGTAAAATGTCGATCTAGAGGCCGAGCCACGGTTATCCATGGATACGTACTGGCGTGAACGATCCCCCTCCGCCGATGTATCGCCTCTTCCTTCGTGTCGTCGAACGCAACGGAGCACGATGACAGTTCCGCTCACAATAATGGCAGATGCGCACGACGTTCTTGTCACGCGGTTAAAGGGTAAAAATCAGCCTCTTTTGCACGTGTGCGCTGCTGCTGCTGCTGCTGCTGCTCCATACACATATGCACGTGAATTAAACCGTCGAGCGTGGAATTATAGTCGACGCGACGTCCGTGTGGTACGCGCGTGTGTGTGTCACTCTGAGTCCGTGTGTCTCTGAACGGCTGTGTGTGCGGACGGTGCGTGAGAATGTGTGTACACGTATCGTTAGAGTGGTAGCTGTGCAAAAACGTCGTAACAAGACGGCGCGTGGACGGTCGCGGCTGAACTGATCGTGGGGGTCGAGCTACAGGTGTCATCAGACGGCGGCTGCTCCACCCCTCTGCCCCCCACCCCTGCTCCCTCGCCCGCCCTCATCCCCACCGCGCGGCCGCAGTACTTTCACGCACACGTCCAGACGGCCACCGGAGGGAACGCGTGCGCACACGAGCGCCGGCTTCCTCTCTGTAATCATGCAATATCATTCGGTCTATTCGCGGCGCCTATGAACCGAGCGAACGCGGCACGTGCTTTGCATCGCTATAAACGATATCGGGCATGTTCTCTCGCTTTTTTCCCCGAAACCACCGTTTCTTCTTCTTTTTTTTTCTTCGCGCCGACCACGATTTCTGTAGCTCGCTTTCCGCGGACCCGTGTGGCTCATCGCCGGTGGTAATATCTGACCGCGTGTAATGACTGAATTATACAATTATAATGGACGCCCGTTACACGACGGTGTATCTCTCCCGAGTTTCTTCGTCGCTTGGAAAACACTGTAATTTCCGTGGTTTTGTAAGTTCGTTGTTTGCATTTCGAGATTAGGAGTTTGCGATAAGAATACGTGAATAAATAGTATCATAACTTTTTAACACTAGAACTACCGGTCGTCGTGGCGGATTTCACAGATTCTTTATTTTATAATTGTTGTCGGTGCATTTTTATTCGGATAACAAAAATTGTACAATATCGTTGTTATTGTTATCAAGTGCGGTCTTATTATTCGTAAGGTAGTTCTAGTATTAATTGCATTACAGGGTGTAGAGGGGGGGGGGGTGTAGCTATTCCCGGAGACACGTAGAAATTCGTTTCTGTGGGATATAGAATAGGTACGTCAAGTATCGATTTTAATTTTTCTTTTAATATACGCTTAATAGTATATAAAATATAGTAATTTTTATGTCTACATTATTCGAGATTTTGTCCCTACCTTATGTAACTTCTATTAAAATAGAGAAATAATCCCGCAAATGTTAAAAAACAATATTCAATTCTTATCAAGCACGATTTTAAGGTACAGTAGGTGCCTATGTACTAATTATATACTGATACGTTTAAGGATGAGTAGATTACAATGAAAGAGAAAATAAAAAGTAAAAAGTCCGGATGAAAAAACGTAATCGGGGGATAGTACGTGTGTGAAATAGATACATTTACAATCCGCGCGCGTATCAGGCATTGAGTATCGATGTTCGTAATTCAAATAGATATTTATTCAAAAACCAGTGTTATTTCGTGACAAAACATATAACGTCAAGTTACTGACGCAATGCTCATGACGTATTCTCACTCACCCGATCGCACTCACACGGAATTCCTCCCTCTCTGTGATTTATACACTTTACTAGCTATATATATGTATATATATATAATATATATATATTTATATATTTATATATATATATATAATTTTTTTTTTCTTTATGCTTGCTGTAGAATATTTAATATTTTTTCTATTTTCATCGTTCCTTGTTCATCACGTAGATGCACAATGTATCATTATAACATTAAAAACTATATCGATAATCTAATTACATATACATTATGTGATATGGGCGTCTAGCCACTGTTTACAGCTATGTGTCGCATGGTCGCCCACGCGACCAAAAGTCTGCAAAACGAGCGAGTCGACGCGAGTTTCCCTTTTACATTCGAGGATCGGAATTCGACGCATTTGTTTACAGGTGTAGTTACGATGTCGTCGTTGAATTCGAACATTCTTCGGGTACCGATGGTTGAACATCGACGCGATCAACACTGAATTTTAGAAAAATATTTACCGGTCCCCGAGGAGCTAGGAAAGCCCATAACAAGCGTTTGTTGTGAACATTTGATGATGATCGAGCGGCAGAGAGTAGATCTCTCTGATCGATTTCTGATCCCCCGTAAAGCGAAACGCGCGCGATCGGCTCGCGATTTTTAAATCCGTCTCTGCGAACGGACTCGCAACCTTTCGGGCTCGCTCTCGACTTCGCCGCGTGTCGCTCGTGAGGGCCACAACGACATCCGTAAACGGAGGCACGTCGGCTGCTCACGTCCCTCTTCGACAATAACATTTTTTCCCCCGAATTCCCCTATTTATAAAAAGTCGGATTTCTCTGCTCGCACAGACGCGAATTGAATTTCCATAGTGAAAATAGTCTCGTGGATCAAGTAACTAGACAACAACCCCATACCGACCGTTTGATTCAAACCTCACCGGGTGACGATTGAATCTCATTAAACATAAGAATGATAATAATCGTAAAAGAAACACTCAGCGTGTCCGAAAGCCTCTATACATAGCAGCATACATACAAATATATGTATATATTAATTCATGCTCGACACTTCGATAGTGCTCTCCTTCGCTTTCTTCGTGTTACAGAGACTGAATGATTTCGACGTTGTTTTCGGCTTATCGATTAGGAGCCGCGTCGATGAAAACGAAAAAAAGCCGAAGATGCGCCGAGCGCGAAACATTGTTCTAATTGCTTATGCGAAACAAAGCGTCAACGGCGTTCCGTCGGAATCATCGTAAATCGAGTAAATCGAAAACAGAAAGCGTACGACACGTCTTTGAATAGGCCTGTGAAAACCGATATGTTTTCAGTTGTAAAGATTCATTGGAAACGCTGTCGGGAATCACACCTCTGATCGAACAAAAATTAGAACAGCCGTATAAAATCAATGTTTAACAACTGGATGAACGGGGCGAACTCAAAAACGTTGTTCCTGCCTTCGTTACTCGATTTGGCGAACGCTCTCAAAGTGCTGCCAGACATTATTTTCTTTTTTTTACAAATTTCGCTGAATTATAGTTTAATGATTGCACCAACGAAAAGTATAATCTACCCCCACCGTTCCCTTTTCCCTATCGGTATTCTTCTATGCGTCGCCCTCGATCATCGATCGCCGTGTACATCAAACTCCGCCGTATTGTATCAATCACAAGTGAACGAAATCATCGCCCTCCGCTCGGTCTCGAGCGGTAAACGAAAAAGAACTTAGGGAAAAGGAAAGCCTTGCTTCGAACGGGTATCGTAAGGCACATTTTCGACACGCCCCAAGTCTCTCTCAAGTTTCTCAAACGAGGGGTGCGTTTTACGGGCGTCGAAGTCGGGATGCGATTCGAGAGATCGGCTACCATAACCCACGCGCGCAGTTCTCGAGAAAAGTAGTCGCCAAGTATACCTTTTTTTTCTTCTTCTTTTTTTTAAACAAAGGAAAAACAGAGAAAAATAAAAAACATATCGTAAAGAAAGAAAAACCAAGTCGTTGTAATATACACAAAATGAGTTTCGTTGCAAAAAAAGCCGTGTAAAAAACCGTACAAGTACATTTATACATTCATTGATCATTGTGTGTGTATGTGTTCGTGTGCATTGGAGTATACCGTTTTAACGCGCTCCGGTGCGTTGAATTTGGTTCTGGTTCCTTTCAGCGACAACAGACTGTGTGTGTTACTGTTCCAACAACCTCGCGGCGATCAACAATCATCGCAAACGGCGTTATTGTTTGCGCGCCTGACCGTGTAGTGGCCTCGCTACTCGTCGACAAAATAGCGCACTACTCTTCTCTGGTAGCGACGGGAAACAACGTTTAGATATTGCAATAAATATGGTATAGCGAAAGCTCGACGTTGCATGCTCCGTTAGAACCTGGCTCTGATGTAGACAGCGGAGGCGTCGTGTTCTCCGTAGCCAAGGCGTTTAGCATGCTTGTAGACCTCGTTCGCCGCGGCTGCCAATGGTAGAGGTTGCTCCAGCTGGTCGCTCATACCTAAAGAGAGTCTTAAGTCTTTTTGCATGTGTTGCAGGGGTAGCTGCGTTGGGAAGCCGCCTTCGATGATAGCTAAAAGAAGAGGACATCGGTTGTACAGATCCGTCAACGACCGGTATGCTTCAACAACAAATGTAGATAGACGCTGTACCTTTTCCTTTGTCAAGAATTGCAGGACAAGCCAATGATGTTAACTCCAACACCTCCAACACGTCTTTCTGTTGAAGGCCAGCGCGATCCGCCAGCGCCATACTCTCGGCCAAACCGGCCAGAGTGACTCCCGCCATCAGCTGAAGCACAAGGTTCATTTTGGATGCGTTGCCCACCTCGCCAAGGTAAAAGCTATTCTTGCCCATGGCCTCGAAGCACGACTGACATTCGTCGAACAATGTCCGGTCTCCGGCCGCAAGGATCACCAATGTACCCTCTTGTGCCTGCGTTTTACTACCTTGCACCTGCGCCTCCAAATATCGCCCACCTTTCGCAGTTATCGCCTCAGCGATGTCCTGCGACGTCTCCGCGTCTATTCCGGTCATTTCCACGTACCCCTTCTCGGGGGAGATTTCTGTGAGCACCCCGCAGTTTCCGAACACCATCTAAAAATTGTTTATCGTCGATTAATTTCTCAGCAGAAATTTCACGGACTTGTTGCACCAGCTCTGAGAGTACTCACGTCTTTGGCCGCTTGAGGATCAGCCACGCAGGAAAATGTAATGTCAGCTGCCAATACGACGTCCGATGGTGTCAAACCCTGTTCTGCCCCAGCTTTCACGAAGTCCGCACACTGCAAATTCAAAGGCGACAATTAGCTCTCCTTAGATCTTTTCATCTTGCAAATAAGTTCGCTAAAATTAATTCCTTGATTGGAACGGTATTTTTACAGATGAAGTAAACATTCAATTTTGGAGCCTAATTTATTTGTAATAGAAAAACTATTACGACGAATTGAAAGTGTCTGTTTTTATCCTACCGAATGTCCTAAAAAGAAAGGCAGACGAACAGTAAACAAAGAGGACACAAAATTATTTAGTTAGTCATAAGTCGTTTCAGGGACCATTATATGCTACGCCATTGGCGCATCCTGTTGTTGGCTGCTTGGCGGGAAAACCGCAAGGACGAATGGAACGAGGATAATTCAGATTTCACTATTTTTATTTTATAAAGGCCTTCGAGATCGTAGATGGCAAACTTGGAGTCTATATTCCCCATTTGTTCTAGAGATTTAATGCTTCGCGCTTTCGCCAGGCGGTGTCGCTAGCTACTGGGCATTCTAGGGAATGTCCCTACCCGTTTCCGACATCGTGGCGACACCGTGCATCGCTGGCGCGTACTACAAAGAACATTCGAGACCGACGGTGCCGGCAGATGCCGCCAGGACGCGCAGTGGCCATTTTGGTCGCCATTTTCGTCACGTACGCTGTCCCCCAACGGCCCCGACGCTAAACTCTTCGCGGCTCGCTTGCCACATCAGCAAACGACGCCATTGCGACATCTGAAAATATTTCCCGCATAATGTCGAGAGATACGTCCATTTTACCCATCGTGGTTCAAAGGACCTAACAGTAGTTCATTGCTATTTACAGTAAGCGACGAGGCACGCTCTCGATGACGTTCTAGAAGTTTCTATAGTTCCCGATACGCTGAAAGCGACGATAACCAGCAGGGAGCCGCGTTAATGTATAACGACCAGGCTTTTTACGAGAACGTAGTGGACCCTACGATCCATACGTACGATTTTAAAGCCGCGTTCGACCGGAGCACAGACAGTGCGCAAATCCGGGAACGAAACGCCAGCGATAGCTTGCGTCAGCGATTTTATCCAATTTCGACGCGGACACACGTCTACTACCTCTGGAGGTGTCTATTTTCATTTTCGAGTCCGACTCTCTCTCCCAGCCACACACGAGTAAAATCGATACGGCGTTTTGCAAATGTGTAATGGCGTCGTTTGCCCCACGGCACGACGCCGCTCGAACGAAGTTTGCAAATACTTTGAACCTGTCCAACGACGGGGACGAGTTAACTTGTTATTCCGGTTCGAGAGGATTTTTCGTCGAGGAAATTCTCCCATGCGAATCTACTACCAATTTCTATTTGACTCGCGCGAGCGCAGGCGAACGTTTTCTCGAAACGTCGAATCGAATTGTTGTGGCTCTGTTGCTAACTGCGTACGTATTTTGCTGCCGGAATCGGAGGCATTTAACGCAACGTAACGGTTAGTCAACAAAGGAACGACCGAGACACATACGAGAAGCAGGCTGTATTATTGTTTCGGTCAATAAATAAGCTTTTATCTTCGCTCTTGTAACCTGGCGTATCGCGACGCGATCTTTTCTCGTTATTTTGCAGGCGAGGCCACGGGCAAGAGCTAGCTGTGAAACGCGCGTTCGGTTGCCAAACAGCGTCGCGGGAGCGATGCAACCGGAAACGAATGGAAAAATTGATTCGCCTCGTCTTCCATTGTTCCGTTGCACGTGCGCGTAGGGTAATCGAGCAGGAAGTATACATCGATCGTGTTCCTGACCTGTATTATTTTCAACGTCCAATTTATTTCGACAAATAGGCACCGGGATACACACTCCGCTCGCGGTTTTATCATCGGACGCACAGGCGGCGGACGAAGAAACACGATACAACGACGGCCGTACAGAAAAAATTAGAACTGGCCAATGTTATCGTGTTAACGTGTCGCGAACGATTCCCACCGAAATTCAAATTGGGAATTTCCTGGCACGCGTATCCTGTGTCAACCTTCGTAACACCATTTTTTTTTGTCATTTTCGTTGACACGTTGTTCCTGCAGTATTTGCGTTAAATAAACGCTGAAATTAAGCCCTTAATGCACAGTATTTTTTTAAAAGGCCGGCCAAAAAGAATCAATTTTTTTTAATGTAAAAAAAAACAATTTAGAACGTTGTCTTGGCAAGAAAATTACAAAAATACAAAAATAATCAAAATTTTTATTGCAATTCTAATTTTCAGAATATTACTATTATTATTGTTATTGTTATTGTCATTATTATTATTATTGTTATTATTATTATTATTATTATATTTTATTTTATATTATATTTTAGTACAATATATATTGAAAAATGAGCGAATCAATTTAGAACGTTGTCTTGGCAAGAAAATTACAAAAATACAAAAATAATCAAAATTTTTATTGCAATTCTAATTTTCAGAATATTACTATTATTATTGTTATTGTTATTGTCATTATTATTATTATTGTTATTATTATTATTATTATTATATTTTAGTAAAATATATATTGAAAAATGAGCGAATCAGAATCTGAATATGAATACGCTGTCGGAAAGCGGCTCACAAGGAACAGATAAGTCGTAAGCGATAAGTAGAAAAAGGATATATTTTATACTTGAATAAGTAAGTATCAATAAATACAATCCCATATAGTTGTTGATAATTCGTAAAACGATTGTTTCTTTTTTTGCTTTCACATTGTTATTTTCAATTCTCGATTGCNCCATGTAAATGATAAATATCAATAAAACGATTGTTTCTTTTTTTGCTTTCACATTGTTATTTTCAATTCTCGATTGCATTCGAGTGTGAAAAATTATAGCGACATAAAGTACAACGCCGCTCGAGTTATCTCGAGTGTGCACAGTTTAGCCAGTTTAGCGCGCTCGAGTTAACTCGAGCGTGCACGTTCAGGGGTTAAATAAACGCTTGAAATTAATTAATTTATTCTCGCAGATTCGATTTCAATTCGACGTCCCACCGTTAACCAGCGATACGACGGATTTCTATCGGAGAGTCATCAAAGGGCTCGTAAACCTTCGCCCGTTTACAACAGAACCATCGTTTGCCCGTCGGAGACAAGGGCAGCCGGGGGTGTAAAAATTGCTCGAAGGTTGCAGTCCGAATGCATCAAGTTTCACGCGCTGTTTATCCGGGGGCCAAGAGGCGAGGAATGTCCAATGTCGCCTGATTTTTTGTTGTTCCCGGGATCGTCGCGCGAGCAAATAAATTCGGTGTAAACGGCGGCGAGAAGTGTGTGCGTGTGTGTGGCAGGCACAGCGGCTGACCTTGAACCAACTTAACCGACTTGTGCGGCTTCCACGAGGGAGGAAACTCAACGGTTTCCAGGGACGAATGTAACCGTATATACGCCGGAATTGCATTCTGTCTGCATCCAATATGCGCTCCGCTCTTCCGAGAACGTGTAACGCTCGAAAGTGTCGGCTGCCAGAGAGGAGTGTTTCGAGTGTCTTCGCTGTGCGCGGAGCACAACTTATGCAATTCTCGGCCTCGGCTAACTCTCCGCTTCGTTCTAAAGTCTCCACGCGCTCCCGGTCTCACCTTTACGGATATATTAATATTCTATTGGGTGACAAAGCCCTAAGTTGCGCGCTTTCATTATGCTCCGCGCCGAGGTCGCAAGATCGCTCGTCCAAGTTCTCGGAAAAGCCAAAGGTAAATAAATTCTCCGCCGACCAAGAGCGGACCTGTTTGGCGAGCGCGCCGTTGACGATGCTTGTGACAGTTCACGCTTCAACCCTTTCCCATCGAAGAACGGAATAGTCCAACGCTATGCGTTGCATAATAATTCAAGATCGTCGAAATACAGAAAATAAATATCATTGATATAATTCACTGACTACGGATACACGTAGTTCAATACATACATAGAGATACTCGCTAAAATGTTCGGACACGTTTTTAGAAAGGTGTAGCTTTTTCAAGATTCACCCGAATGGCGTGATTTTTTTTTTTTTAAATACCGAAGAGACCCAGTTTACTCGGCCGAACTATTATTTGTTCAACGATCATATTTACGATCACGATCGAACATTTTCTGCCCAGGTTAAATGCTAGCCTTTCTATTAATGGAACAACTAGCAACCTAAATTGGAAACTGCATAATTAAATGGGGGCGTTCCGATGATGAGGAGAGATTAAAAACCCAAGAGCAATTTGAGGATCTTTCGTCGTCCCCTGCGAACTGTAATCTGCCAAATTTAACCCCTTGATGCACAGTTTTTTTGAAAAAGGCCGGCTAAAAAAAATCAATTTTTTTTAATGTAAAAAAACACAATTTAGAACGTTGTCTTGGCAAGAAAATTACAAAAATACAAAAATAATCAAAACTTTTATTGCAATTTTGGATTTTGATAACATTGCAGAAAATAGTCGAATATTGTAATATTACACGCACATCGACTTCTTTTATCTTTCTTTTCGAATTCCCATTTTTCAGAATAAACATTATTATCAGTAAAAATACTTATTTATACTTTTAAAACATAAATAATAACAATACTAGTATTTATAATATTTATTATTATATTTATATATATATTATTATTTATATTTTAGTTTACATTATATTTTAGTAAAATATATATTGAAAAATGAGCGAATCAGAATCTGAATATGAATACGCTGTCGGAAAGCGGCTCGCAAGGAAGAGATAAGTAGAAAAAGGATATATTTTATACTCGAATAAGTAAGTGTTATAGCTTATACAATCCCATGTAAATGATAAATATCAATAAAACGATTGTTTTTTTCTTTTGCTGTCACATTGTTATTTTCAATTCTCGATTGCATTCGAGTGTGAGAAATTATAGCAACATAAAGTACAACGCCGCTCGAATTATCTCGAGCGTACACAGTTTGGCCAGTTTAGCGTGCTCGAATTATCTCGAGCGTGCACGTTAAGGGGTTAAATGCCGGTTTCGATGTGGAAAAACTGCTGAAAATATCCGTGAACAATTCGAAGAGCTCCGATTGGACTTTCGCAAGCTGTGAAACGCAGCCTAGTTACGAGAGAGTTAATCTCAGGTATTGCTCAGCCGTGAGGCTGCTAATAAAACCTATTGTATCATTGACACGCAACCGGCTAAACGATTTCTTCAGCCCTAACGAGACGATTCTCGTGGTACGCGCGCTACCGGGGCCCACAGCTATGCGGCGGCCGGCGTCTAATTGCCTGGATAATTTTCACTCCTCGCCGGCCGGGAACAACAAGCGGTTGCGCATTTTAGGTAACAACGGTGCGTGCCACGCGCGACCGTACATAGGCAGGAAGCACATTCGCTGTTCCACGCCGTGCACGAGCCGTTTTCTAACCCACGTAGTAACACGTGGGTGGACACACGCGCGCGCGCACGTCTCGACACCGGCAAATCACAGCGTGGCGAGCGTTTTCTGTTTAACCCTCCGCGAACGAACGAGTGTCGGTGACGCAAATAAATTAGAGAGGCTGCTGCACAGCTGAGAAAAATTCACGCGAAATTCGTTCGAATGCACCGCCGGGCGAAGAAGATTGCCAACGGCCGTTAGAGCGAGGCGTGTACACCGGAGCCGTTCCAACGTCCTCGGAATTGGCAATTCCCAGTGAGCGAAAAGCTTCCGTCTCGGCCGGTAGATTATAGAATTAAAATTTCATTTCAGCTGTGTGCCGCGCGGAGCACAAAGCTTTCAGAAGACCTTTTTATCCTTGAAGTTCCGCGGCTACGGCTGCAGGCGCGAGCGGGAATCCCGATTTAGACGGTGCCGGCCCTATATCTTCTCGTGTGCTCCCTTTTTCCGACCTCGAAAAAAGAAACTAGAACACCCGGAAAGCTTCGTGTGCACACACGTGCCGATCGGCGAGGCGACAGGAGCCCAAGGAGAGGGCATTATCGGAGGCGACGGAGATACTATTAGGGTGTCCCATAAGTTCTTTCCGCGCCGCGCTATGAATGACTCTAACTGGCTGTGTTTATGCAAAAACACGCAGGCTCGTCTCTTGGCTGTTTAGGGTAAGGGTTTCAGTCGTCCCAGAGCTCTTTTAGAGTACGTTTCGTTGATGACAAAGTTCCTTATGAAATCTTTTCTGCGACGTTCGCCATAATTGGCGAACCGACGCGGCGTCGTTTTTCATCAAGAGAACGTAAAACCGCGTGTTGCGTCGGTCGCAAGACAAAAATTATTGCAGTTTCATCGGGACGTTCTACCTCATTCCCCGTACTCCCCAGACATTGTTCCATCCGATTATTACTCGTTCTTCTCGTTGAAAAATTCTCCCCGTGAAAAACGGTTTAAATTCGTCAGCGAAACGAAAACGCACCTTGATCAATATTTTGCAAAGAAGCCTCGAAAAGACAGTATAACGAGGCCTCCTGAAAGATGGAAGAGGGTAATATCGCAGAACGGTTCGTATATAACTCGATAAATCAGTCTTAAGCAACAAATATCGTGTAAGCGTTTCGCATCAGAAAACAGGAAAGAACTTGTGGGACACCCTAATACTATTTCGTCGGAAAATCAGCCGGGCCACCGAGCGGTAAAGTGCTTCCGGCTGTCCGGGAACCGTAATCCATCAATGAACCAAGGTAAATCCTTTTTTGACCCTTATCCTTNCTAACTGGCTGTGTTTATGCAAAAACACGCAGGCTCGTCTCTTGGCTGTTTAGGGTAAGGGTTTCAGTCGTCCCAGAGCTCTTTTAGAGTACGTTTCGTTGATGACAAAGTTCCTTATGAAATCTTTTCTGCGACGTTCGCCATAATTGGCGAACCGACGCGGCGTCGTTTTTCATCAAGAGAACGTAAAACCGCGTGTTGCGTCGGTCGCAAGACAAAAATTATTGCAGTTTCATCGGGACGTTCTACCTCATTCCCCGTACTCCCCAGACATTGTTCCATCCGATTATTACTCGTTCTTCTCGTTGAAAAATTCTCCCCGTGAAAAACGGTTTAAATTCGTCAGCGAAACGAAAACGCACCTTGATCAATATTTTGCAAAGAAGCCTCGAAAAGACAGTATAACGAGGCCTCCTGAAAGATGGAAGAGGGTAATATCGCAGAACGGTTCGTATATAACTCGATAAATCAGTCTTAAGCAACAAATATCGTGTAAGCGTTTCGCATCAGAAAACAGGAAAGAACTTGTGGGACACCCTAATACTATTTCGTCGGAAAATCAGCCGGGCCACCGAGCGGTAAAGTGCTTCCGGCTGTCCGGGAACCGTAATCCATCAATGAACCAAGGTAAATCCTTTTTTGACCCTTATCCTTTTTTTATTTATTTATTTAAACGGCTAAAAATCCACTTTTAGGCTATAAAACCAGGTACCCGGGCAGCGTAGACAATTCTCAGCGCTTAGGCACTATCTCGGATAATTTGGCAACACAGGAAACGGAACAGAGATGCGGGTATAAAGCCTGCGGAGGCCTGCGGGCCCCCTAGACACGGCCCTGCCGACCACGGTCTCTTTCCTGCGGTTGCAAAGAAGCTATCTATACCCCGCGCAGAAGTAAAAAATATTGAATGGTACTGGTTCGTTCTAGCCTTCGATTCCGAGGGAATCGGCTCCCGGAGACTCGTTTCGCCAGGCTCGTCCGGTAAGTGGAAAATGGCGAACGACGAGCGGACACGCGATCTTTCAGCTCGATCTATGATATCACTCGAATTCGATTTTCCAGAAGCTAAAGCCGCCGATATAGCTTGAGTCACTCTATCCCGCCGACTGTTCTACAGTTCAAATAAACCGAGCTTATAGTAATCCAGTGTGTCCAACGATGCTTGGATACGAAGCTGGCGAACGGTAAACGATCTACGCTATTGCTTCAGCGTGGACTATTTGTTTGGATTGGTCGGGCTCGCGTGTGCGAGAACTCGGGGCCCGATGATTTTTCGACCGACCGCTGTTGCCGGTCGGCGGACAGATTTTTTCGGTCGTCCGATCCGAAGACGTCGCTTCGTTGGCAACACGATCGCAGGAACATCCTGTGCTCGTTTCAGTGGCAGCACGAAACACCGAGGCGCTGCTGGCTTGCACGAGGCTGCAGAAGTGGCGGATGTAGAATGGGCCGTGGTAGAGGGGCTGAGTATATCGACCTTTGCGGCTCGCAGGGAACGCGCGGAAACCGTTTAATAATACGAAATTTCTGATCGCGAAGTTCGCGCGATTGTTAAAGCCCTGTCTCTACGCCGCGCGCAATCAGGAAATGGAACAGCGTGGGGGGCGGGGACCGACCGTGGGAATTCTGGGGGATAGGCGTGATTTATCGGAATGCGGGAACGACTCCTCCGGAATCCCGAGGATCCAGCGAGCGTTTCCAGATATCTTGCTCGCAGAGCGTTTCCCGTCTCGCGGGTGGTCCCGCGAAAACTACGACGTTACTTACGATGCTAATCGAATATTAATCTCACCTTTGACCCGGGACGCGACCTGGGCTTTTACCGGCGGTGCTCGGAGCCGGCCGATTTCGCGGACTTCGTTTTACAGTTTCCCCGGTCCCCTTGATTACGACAATCGAATCACTCGTGGAATTAAGAATTACGAAGCAATTCGATTACGTTTTAATCCAATCTCGTCGTGATTCGATCGAGCAAGTAACTCGGAATTCGGGTCTACGTTCGATTAAGTTGCTAATGTGACTCGTAAATTGCGACTGGAGCACAATTTGCGAAATATTAATTAATTGAATTGTTGCGATGAGGGGCAATACTGAGACAGATGCTTTTACAATGGAGTAACTTTTTTAAGACTGGTCCGGATGACTTGAATCTATATAAATAAATATATAATAAAATATATATAATAAGAAATTTAATAAATAAAATATATAGTATTTTAGTATTATTATTAGTGTTTATAGTATTTATATATATTAATAAATATAATTTATATATAACTGTATTATATTATATATATTTTACTAGACCAGAACACCCCTTCAAGTTGCTAATTGTTTATGAATACAACATTTGCCTCAGAAACTGCTGAAACTGTCTTTGAAATGCTAAAGATGCTACAGTAATGTCTCCCTTATTGACGCTCAGATTGTCCACTAAATTGGATAATTTGGTAACCGCAAGGCAATTGTAAAAACGAGACGGAGGACTCGAATAATCGGAGAATTTACTTATATAGAATATTCTGGCTTCGCTTAAAAGGTAAGAGGCACGCGATACTCGAAGTTTCGTGTATCGAAAGTAATATATAATAATATTGTATAATGTATTGTATATACAATAGTAATTTTGTAATAATATATTACAAAATATATTGCTAATAATCCCGTAGGAGGTTTCATAGCTTAATAATAAAAAAAGGTACAGTAAATTCTCCCTAATTGACGCTCAGATTGTGCACGAAATTCGACGATTTGGGAAGAGGAGATACGATTATTCGAACCTTGCAGCTCGTTTTTATAGTTGTTGATAATTCGTAACTGTAAAACGAAGCGCAAGACTCAAATTAATCTCCTCTCCCCAAATTGTCCATTTTTGTGCGCGATCTAAGCGTCAATAAGGGAAACATTACTGTATTCCCTTTCGCCTCGAAATTATTCGACCACTGTCGAGAAGGCTACCAATTTCGGTGGCAATTCGAAAGAAAATCGTCCCATCATCGAAGCTCTATTACCTAGGTCTTGGCTTCATGAAACATTTACAACGTCCGTCTATTAATCCTCGGATTAACCCCTCAAATAACAATGTGAAAGCAAAAAAAAACAATCGTTTTATTGATATTTATCATTTACATGGGATTGTAAGCTATAACACTTACTTATTCAAGTATAAAATATATCCTTTTTCTACTTATCGCTTACGACTTATCTCTTCCTTGTGAGCCGCTTTCCGACAGTGTATTCATATTCAGATTCTGATTCGCTCATTTTTCAATATATTTTTATTACTGCGACGGTTACTGCGACGGTTTATATAAAATAATCCGAGAGAGTTTTTTTTGGTTTTTATATAACGAGAACTTTAATATAACTTGTAACAAAAGGCGATGAGGTACAGTGTGTAGAAGGTAAAGGTAAACGAGTGACGGATGAGACAGAAATATGAACACGTTGAGAGTCGGAGGAAAACTTGCTAACTGACGTCTCCCGGTCGAGAGGTCCTCGTATTTATTGGGGAGAACGTATTGAAATTGGTAAGGGAAAGTCCTTGGGAAGGGCGAAGGCCTTTCCCGAAGATTTTCCGACCGGGGTGATCCGGGACCTATGGTCCGAAGCTGTGTCCCAACGTTTTTATTGTTTTATTGCGGTGTGTACGCCTTGCGTCGGGAGAACCCGAAAAAGGCATAGCACATCCCGCTTTTGAAGGACGTGTCTTTTTATGTCTGGTCCGCCACAATATATTTTACTAAAATATAATGTAAAATAAAATATAATAATAATAATAATAATAACAATAACAATAATAATAATAATAGTAATATTCTGAAAATTAGAATTGCAATAAAAATTTTGATTATTTTTGTATTTTTGTAATCTTCTTGCCAAGACAACGTTCTAAATTGTGTTCTTTTACATTTAAAAAAATTGATTTTTTTTTGGCCGGCCTTTTTCAAAAAAACTGTGCATCAAGGGGCTAATCATCGAATGATTGACAGGACGATCCCGAGGACGCGACAGGAAGCTGCCCAGGGGGAACGATCCCGAAGAAGAAGATGATGATGATGATCGATTGGGTTGGAACGAATGCGATGTTTCGTTGAGTAACTGGCCTAGCTTCCGGCGATAGACCAGGAGGCCACCCTTGTCGTAGGGTTAAGTAGATGTCGGTAAACACTCGACCGGCAGAGTGTCTCTCGTCCGTGCGCGAGGAAAGACGCTGATTTTCATGAGCATGTTTTTTAGCGTGGCTCGTATCGATCATCGTAAGCCGACGGTAGCGGAAACTGACTGCGGAAGTTCGTTTGACCGAACTGCTGATGCGACGCTGGGCAATAACGAGAGACGCGATATGCGGACGAGGACGAGGAAAGCGAAGTGGCCAGAAGAGAGGAGGCGAAGGGTACGTGTGTGTTCGGCAGGACAGTAGTAATTAGCTGCTCGCTCACGCTTCATGGAGTGCTCATGGCAGAAATTCTACCGGAAGACGGGCCGCGATATAGCTACGCGGGGTTATTTTAAACTCCGTACGTGCCCCGGAACAGCCCCAGAAGTCACGGACAACGAATTAATCTCGGGCAAATCGTAGCCTGATCCAGCCTCGGTGTTTTTAATCTTCGAGATCAAGATAAGCGCGAGCACGGCGGCTAGATAAAACGTGCCGGCAACTTTTCACGGGTTCGTTAAGTACGCGAGGCAGTGTACTTAAGCACACGGGCCGGCCTTTGCCACGAGAAAAGCGATAAATATTGTCGAGTTCGACAGCGGCCGAGGATACATACATATTCTGTTTCGCGTGCGGATAGTCGAAGTTGTGGTTATTTATCGCCGTTTCACCGACGAAGTCGAGAGGCTTGATTCTTTCAGAATCACGGAATCAGTTTGCCAAGAATAGTATGCGAAAGATCCATAACAAGATCACTGATAACAAGCTTGTACGATCTGGATCAACACGATATTGTATCAAATTCTATTTATCGGACGCTATAAATTCTACTCTATTTATTAGAATATTTATTAGAATATTTCTATTTATTAGAATATTTATTAGAATATTTCTATTTATTAGAATATTTATTAGAATATTTCTATTTATTAGAATATTTATTAGAATATTTCTATTTATTAGAATATTTATTAGAATATTTCTATTTATTAGAATATTTATTAGAATATTTCTATTTATTAGAATATTTATTAGAATATTTCTATTTATTAGAATATTTATTAGAATATTTCTATTTATTAGAATATTTATTAGAATATTTCTATTTATTAGAATATTTATTAGAATATTTCTATTTATTAGAATATTTATTAGAATATTTCTATTTATTAGAATATTTATTAGAATATTTCTATTTATTAGAATATTTATTAGAATATTTCTATTTATTAGAATATTTATTAGAATATTTCTATTTATTAGAATATTTATTAGAATATTTCTATTTATTAGAATATTTATTAGAATATTTCTATTTATTAGAATATTTATTAGAATATTTCTATTTATTAGAATCTCTGTTTATAAATATTTCTATTTATTAGAATCTCTATTTATAAATATTTCTATTTATTAGAATTATTAGACGCCCATCACGAACATTCGTGGCACCATCACGTGGTCTATTAAAGATCCATTGCTAACAAAAGAGAAAGGATTTATTTATTCTCTTTTACTTATTACTATTTATTTATTATTTTTTACTGACGATTATTTATTATCTTTTATTTATGATTACTTATTTAATTAAAAAATACGAAATGTCTAGGACCGATTTCTTCAAAACAGGCTCGGCGGTTAAAGCGTTAGAGTAATTAGTTACATCGTTACATCACTTTGCATTGTATTCGAAGCGTTAATTAGCGCATCGCGAATAAATACGTTCAAGTCGTTGGTGGCCGGCCTGAGAAAATTCTCGGAGCGCGAAAGGTTCGAAGTTGTGCCACGCAGCGAAATTCTCGAGAAACTTACTACGGCCCCGTCAATGTCTGCTTAGAGACACCGACAGTGTCTATTTAGATAATCCATAAGTGGATGTGTCCCATTTAACAAAGACCGGTGCCGCAACGAGCCGGTGGACGTGTTAATTCTCGAATAGCGACCATTCAGGAGAAATCAATTTAGCTCCATCGTGGTTCTATATGTATATCCCGGATCTGCATAATTACATAGACGAATAGAATTCGGCAAGATTCGCGTCCCCGGTGCCTCCGAAAACCGGGGAGGGGGTGGGGTGGGGTAGGGCACGATTCGGTGTAACACAGTTAACGGTGTAAGTGGGCACACATTGTCGGTTATGAAACCTCGCGCGCGGTGTGTCTTTTATGATCCGCCAATATGCGGACAATGGACGAGGATGATCACCGCATTCAACGAGGGAGAATTAAAGCCAGACCAGTCTGGCCTGGTCCCGCAGAACTCGACACGCTGGCGACTTCTCAGGAGGACACGTTTCATTTTATCGTCGCGGCCGAATCGCCGCTGAATATTTTTCTACGTCCCTGCTTTTCCATCGAGTTCGACGAATATCTTTCTTTACAGCCCCCTCGAGCGTGTTTACGAGAGCTTCGAGGACCGATGACGGCAACGAGGCTCGCCTCGTAGCATCGTTGACGTAACTATGCGCGGGCGTGGGATCGACATCCGAATGTATTCGAGTACAGAGAGACGCGAGAGGAGGCAAACGCGAATTGGCCGCATCGTGCACCGGTCCGCGACGCGGTGGCAAAGTGCGCGGGGGTTGAAAGGGCACAGGTGAAAACTGCACGCGCCTCCACTGCGGCGAAAGTCCCTTCGAGCATGCCTTTTTTCGAGCATTAAAGTGAAAAATCCAGCCGACGGGCTATTTCTGAGCGCAGAGTCGAGTAAACAAGCAATGAAAGGTAGTAGACTACCAGATGGAATCGAATCGAGGATCTCTCTTCGGCTCTTCGAGGTATGAAATGAAGAGTCTACAGGTTATTTCTATGAAACGCACCCGGTAAATAAGCATCGAGGGACTAGATTCGTCGAGACTATCGTGGGAGGCAATTAAAATGGAAATGTTCTCTACTATATTTTTCTTCGGTGTACAAGATGAAGAACCGGAGAACAAGATGAAGGCTATCGCTGTACAAACTCGAGTAAACAAACAATAAGAGCGCGGATCCTTCTTCGACCTTCCTCTCATGAAG